CTGTGAAACGAAGCGGCTTGGAGGACGTCTCCGATATCTTCATTAGTGCGGTACTGGATGACCAAGCTAGGCGGGAGGGAACAATTAGCTCCTCCAGGTCAAGGCGGATATCTCGGGGCGTCTCGCGCCAATCGTCGTTCCACAGCACACAAATCCCGGAATCGGTTCCCGAAGCTAATGAAGATGCTGAGGACGGCGTAGGGGCGGAGAAGGAACCTAATACCCCAAAGCCTACGGCATCCTCCCAGCTACCCTCGCTGAAGTGGGCATTCCTGCGGCATCTATCGCTGGCGGATAACGCTCTTACCTTCCTTCCAACATCCTTCCTATCCCACCTAACCTCCGTCACCCACCTTGACCTCTCTTCCAACCTCCTTGTATCTGTGCCTTCTGGGCTCTCTGCCTTATATAACCTCATATACCTCAACCTCTCCGACAACATGATCGACTCCGTCCTGGGTATATATACCATGCTTGGTGGGGTTCTCACTCTCAATCTTTCCCGTAATCGCCTCGAATCTATATGTGGCTTAGAGCGGCTGCTTGCCCTCGAACGCGTAGATCTCCGCCACAACGTCATTGAAGAGAGCGCAGAGATCGGTCGTCTGGCTACGCTACCCAACATCGCGGAAGTGTGGGTCGAGGGCAATCCTCTCGTGGAGATCGAGGAAGGATACCGCATACGCTGTTTCGACTTCTTCTGCAAGGAGAAGAAGAGCATCCTGCTGGATGGTTCACCACCCGGGTTCTATGAGAAACGCTATTTAACATCGCCCCCGCCTGAGCAGATGACGTCTTCGAGGCCTCTTTCGGTCGCTCAGTCGCCTCCGGTTGTCCCCGTAGGCAGCCCGTCCAAGATCAACGGGGCTGCCCCGCCTCGCGGTAGTCCACTTCACGCCTCCCCAACGGGTTCCCCAGCCTCGCACCCAGCCTCACCCCATCTTGCAGCCGTGCAGGCGCGAGGTCGGAAAAAGAAGAACAAGCGAATAGTCGACCTCGACGGCGGGCGCGAGGCCAGCGATGTGGGGAGCGCGCGAAGTGCTTCACGTCCCACCGTGACATCGCGTACGGTCAGCCCTGCCAAGCGCACCGTCGTCTCCGAGCAGCAATCCGCTCCCCCAATGGCCACACAGGCCCCGCCGCAACCGAAGACGCAATCGCCGCCAGTGGCGCCCGCTGCGAAGTCCACATCCGTCGCGAAACCCAAGTCGCGACACAGTCGACATATGACCGAGTTCGCACCGTCCACGAGCTCTGGTCTTGCGGACACCGTCGACGCCTTTGCGCCCTCTTCGCATGGTTCCCTGCGGAAATCGGCCGCTGTCTCCCGCGGGGCGGCCAGGCGTGCGCGCGTCTCCGCCTCCGTATACGAGCCTAGCAAAGAGGACGCGTCGGAGAGCCATCTTGGGGAAGCGGACGCGTTCCGCGCACGGATCGAGGCACTACGGTCGGATATGGGCGAGGGGTGGTTGAAGGTGTTCAATCAGTCGCAGCTGGCCTCGCCGCGCGCGGTGCAGCCGCCGTCATAGCGTCCGCGGGGCGAGAGGTTTTTGACGGTATTTCATGGGACTTTTACCTATTTTCTGTGTATACCACATGCGCCTGGAGTGTTCTGTACTTTTGCTAGAGCTAAGTATATATCGTCGACTAATGTGCCCCAATCGCACGTATACCCTGCTTGTGCACCCTTTGGACACAAAGTGGCCTGATGGGAGTGACAGGGGTCCGTTCCGAGGAGGGCGGGCGCCTGGGAAGAGTTGCACTTTGCCGCGGGTCGTGGCAGTCACTCGGACGCCGCTCCCTCGACGCGCCGTGCTCTCGTTGACTCTCCTGTTCTTCCTCGCCCACACTCTCCCACCTCCCGTCGTTCGTTACCTTCTGCGATCCACTGCCAGCCATGGGTGCCAACCTCTCGAAGGCTTTGGGTGCGTGCCTCCTCCCTCCCTGGACGCCACGGTCGTCAGGCGCCGCGCCCGTGTGAGCGAGCGACAGCGCGATAGGTGTGCTCACGAGTCCGTCCACAGGGAAGATTTTTGGGAACAAGGAGATGCGGCTGCTGATGCTCGGGCTTGACGCCGCAGGCAAGACGAGTGAGTGCCTCCTGCAGTGCTAGCTGCTCTTCTACGGTGGTGCTAAAAGGCGCGCCGTGTCCCATTAAGCGATCCTCTACAAGCTCAAGCTGAATCAGTCTGTCACGACTATCCCTACCGGTGTGTACCCGCCTCGTTCTTGCTTTTCGTGCGACACGCGCCAGAACCTTTGTTTGACTTTGGGTGACGTCCAGTCGGCTTTAACGTGGAGACGGTGACATACAAGAACGTCAAGTTCAATGTGTGGGACGTTGGAGGACAGGACAAGATTCGCCCGCTCTGGCGGCATTATTACACGGGCACTCAGGGCCTGGTCTTCGTTGTCGATAGCCAGGACCGAGACCGTATAGATGAGGCCAAGCAGGAGCTCCACCGTATCTTGAGCGACCGAGAAATGAAAGATTGTCTCCTCCTGGTTTTCGCCAACAAGCAAGATTTGCCTGGGGGTGAGTTCGTGCAGCTTGGTTACAGCAGCGTCATCACTGAAAGGTGAGGCATATAGCTATGTCGCCAGCGGAGGTTACGGAGAAGTTGGGTCTGCACCGCATGCGTGACCGGTCATGGTATGTCCACCCAAGGTACGTTGTCTTCGGCTGTAACTGTCTGGGACGGCGCTCACACCTGTGTAGTTGTGCTACGACGGGTGAAGGTCTTTTCGAGGGCCTTCAATGGCTTTCGCAGAACGTGAAGAAGCGCCAGCAGTAAACTGGCCGCATTCTATTTCGGAAAATTCGGCTGGGATTCCCCTTCACTCTGCTCTATACCCCGACACGTCTCTGGTGATCTCGACCATATCACGGCCTGTATGACGCACGATCGCTTGCACGACGAACACGCCTCCCGCTCTCGCAACCAAGTCCCGCTAGCTACCTCTCCACACTTACCTTTTGTTTCCTTCGACCTGTCCAGTGTTACCCCCTTCCCCTCGATGATACACCTATGTATTCGCACTTTAATGGATGGGCTTCCGCCTGCTTGACTTTTCCTCATTTTCTGCTTGCCGTCTTGTTTCTGTGTCTGCGTCTCGCGTTGTTACAGTTGTGTTCTATAACCACCTGCCTGTCCTTCTCGCAATTCCATGATCTGGAGCTTCGGGTTCTGCGCGCCAATATCTCGTTGACCGAATATTTCCCGAGTCGTGTAGGTGCCGGTTTTCTCACCCGCCACTTGCCGCGGTCGCGACACGTCCAGTTGAGAGTAAAGGATTTGTGCCACTGAGAGACGTTTAAAATCTGTTTACATAACCCCTGGGCTTGGTAGGCGGCGGGGACCTTGCTCATAATGACGCCTTCGCGGCGAGGACGGCCGTTCAAAAGAGCTCCGACATGACTTGCACAAAGTAATTCATATTGCCTTCGACTTCCGGTAGCTCAGCTTCCAGCTGCTTGTGCTCGGAGTCTTCTCACTCTGCCACCACTATGCAGGTTGCAGCCGCTGCCTTACGGGCAAGGCCACTCTCCCGTGCGTTCACCTCGCGTTCTGTTGACGGATTCGTCGGTGCTGTCGGCAACACACCCTTGGTTAGTACTTACCACAATACTCACGTTATCTGGCTGTCGGTTTTGACTCGTTCCCGCGACTGTAGATCCGACTGAACAGGCTCTCGGAGCAGACGGGATGTAATATCGTGGCCAAGGGCGAGTTCCAGAACCCTGGCGGTAGCGTGAAGGATCGTGCAGCTCTCGGAGTTGTTCTGGATGCGGAGAAGCGAGGTCTGTAAGTGTGTTCAGCTGGACGTACTACACCCATTCGACTGAAAATATCGCGCGTAGCTTGAAGCCGGGTGGGACGGTTGTCGAGGGTACCGCAGGCAACACCGGTATTGGCCTCGCCCACGTCTGCAGGGCGAGAGGCTACCGCTGTGTCATCTTTATGCCCAACACCCAGGCAAGTGACTTTCCCATCCCTTCCCTCACTCTTAGAGCCAACCATCTCCCTCCACACACAGAGTCAGGAGAAGATCGACCTCCTGCGCATGCTCGGCGCAGAGGTGTACCCCGTGCCGGCGGTCGCGTACGAGAACCCGGCGAACTACAACCACCAGGCGCGCGACTTTGCCAAGGAGCTCCCGAACGCGATCTGGACGGACCAGTTCGACAACACCGCGAACGCGGACGCACACTACCGCACGACCGGCCCCGAAATATGGGCGCAGACTGACGGCAAACTCGACGCGTTCATCTGCGCGACCGGCACTGGTGGTTCGCTCGCGGGTACCGGGCGCGCGCTCAAGGAGAAGAGCAACGGAAGAACACAGGTGTGGCTCGCGGATCCACCTGGCAGTGTGCTCCACAGCTACATCACGAGCGGTGGGAAGCTCACCGAGCGGAGTGGGGGCTCTATCACTGAAGGTGTGTCGCGTCTTCTGGCCAATGGGGTCCTCATTCTGACTGGAAGACAGGTATCGGCCAGGGCCGTATCACCAACAACCTGGGCACCTTTGTGAAGAACATTGACGGCGCGTTGCGTATTCCTGATGAGAAGACAATCGCAATGTTGTATGACCTCCTCGATACTGAGGGTATCTATCTGGGTGCAAGTTCAGCACTTAACGTTGTCGCCGCTGTAGAGCTTGCGCAAAAGCTCGGTCCTGGTACGTTATATGTCAGACGTTAGCGCACGGACAGCATTCTAACCACAGCACTCGTAGGCAAGACGATTGCTACTCTTCTTTGCGATGGCGCGTACCGGTACCAGAGCCGGCTCTTCTCCAAAAAGTGGCTGCAGGCAAAGGGCCTCGAGGCTGCTATCCCAGAACATTTAAAGAAGTATGCTGTACTAGAGTAAAATATGATATACTTCCTCTAACAACGGTCGTTCTTGCAATACGCAACGCAGGAGGAGGCGGCCGTGTCCCCTTTAGCAGTCGTCTTGACATGTATGAATGAGCAGTTCCGGCTTCTCGCTAACACACTGATGGTGAAACGGTATCATGCTTGCCTTCCAATCTTCGCTACAGCAAGCGGCGCGGGTTCGACTCCCGCTCAGTGTAATTTTGTGTTTTGCTTACGATCTCATCCGCCTTGGACATGAAACGCACAACATGCAACTCTTGGTTATCAGGAAGGGGTTCCGAACACATCGATAAAGGAAATCCCGGTGATATATGTTCCATTAAGAATTATGACTATTTCCCTCGCTCAGCTCAGCTTCCAGGGACTGCACCTCATCGACAAGTTCCTGGACCTCTGTTTTCCGCTTCCCGACAATCGTCTCTAAACCAGTACAAGCGGTTTCTGCTACCAACACAACATGTTGGTCCATCGTCCGGTCGAGCGTAACCTGAGCGGAAATTCGCAGCCATCCAGTCAGCCTTCTACGTCCAGGGAGGACAGACCTATGCTCACCTTCAAATCCCTCTCCAAACCCTCACCCACACGATCCCAGTCCTTCCACCACCGCGTCTTCGCCTTCTCCCATCTCCCTACGGCCCATCGAACGCCGAGCACGGCGCCCAGCATACCCACACCCGTTGCGGTCTCCATGCTCATGCCGACGTCGATAAGTCCGCCCGCAAGACCGAGCTCGCCCGCCCATCCCACCCAGGCAACACCAAACCCACCGAGGACACTTCCGCTCATCGTGATCACCGCCCGTTGCGCAGATGCATGCAGGCGCGAGGTGGGGAAACCGAGTTGGCTTTGGCGCGTGTGCAGCGGTGCGGTGAGTGCGGTCGCGGAGAGAGCGTATGAGGGCGCAGAGATGATGCGCTCAAGGGTGTTGTGCAACACCGGAGAGTGGTATGCGGACGATGGTGGGAATGAATAGCAAAAAGCTGTCGCAGATTCTTTAAAGGAGGCTTGCAAGGAAGCCAGACGGCCGGCGTGGAACACGAGCTGAGCACCACTATTAGTAACTGAATCGAGACAGATCGCGTGACGGTTCGTACCTTCCGCTCAAGGTCTCTACACCATGCTCGGTCGACCGCAGCAGTAACAACTTCGCGGATATCGTCGACGCGCCAGAACAGTTTATACCACTGTAAAGCATCCATCGTAACCTGGACGTTTCTCTTGGCCTGCGCTACCGCCTTCCCAATCTCATCCCCATCTGTGCCCGGGGGGCCAAAAACAGCGAGATGTACCTTCGCCTTCGACTCCTCGACTTGCCCGCGTAACGTGCTCGCTCCCGTTAGCACGGCGTCGGCCTCGAGTTCGACTTTTCGCAGCACAGCACGGGCAGTCAACAGAGCGTCCTTGACGAGTGCGCGTCCCGTCTGGACGTGCACTGCGACAACACGGGAGGAGTCAGACAAGTTACTTCCTCCACCTAGAGCGCCAGCTAGAATGTCTTTGACGGCATGAGTGATGCTAGCGACGTTGGAACCGGTGACGTCGTCCTGATACCGTTGTACGGAGATGGGAGACGATGGGCCGTCCCCGAGTTGAGCCAGCCCATGCACGGCGCGTGCGGGGTCTACATAAAGGACCCGCAGGTCGTCCCGTAGTGCAAACTTCTTGACTGCAGAAGCCTGAACTCTCGTCTCTGGATGCGTCGGCGAAGGAGAAGAGATAGCGAGGATGGTCTGTTCACGGGATATAGGGAGTGGTGGGTTCACAGAGACGGGCAATATGGAAGGCAAGGGAGTGGTCGCTGGGTTGCAAAGAATGATAGGGACGTCGGCTGCGAACAAAGCCATTGCGGTCTCCGGATTAGAAGAAGGTGAGTATTCTGACACCTCTACCGGCACCCCGAAGTGCTGTAGCCATGAAGACTGGATCTGGACGATGTCGCTGGTTTCGCTGGCTGTGGTACCGTACCTGGACCAGATTGAGCACTCATATAGACGTATCATGATATGACAAACACACCGAAGCCTTACTGAACGACTCCCCTCCGGCTGCGTCTCCCACCGAGCGCGAAGGATTCTCTTCTGGTCGTCTGAAACGAATGGGTCTTCCAGGAGCGCAGTTACGAGGTCGCTCGCCCTGGAGTGTTCATCTAGACCATACACTTTTAATCGGACTGCATGAACATGGAGGGTTCGTTTAGAGAAGGTATTCAGGGCGCACCTACGACCCGGACTCTATCCTTTCCCTTCTCAGGCGAAAGAGATAGGTCCGTATGCGCCCTCTCCAGTATCTCCTCCCAGAACTGGAGTGACTCTTGCAGCGCCACTCCATTAATACCAGTTCGAGCAGGGGGTAGAATTCGCGGGAGCAGCGTCGTCGTCTTGTGTAACACCGTTAGAATGTGCGCCCGCCTGTCTTCGTTCTTAACCGGAAGCGCTGCGGCGGTCGCAAGCGTCGCTCTTCTCACTCTTGTTTGGGCACCCCAGCGACTTATGGCATTTTGCGCGGCATTGCGAGCGAGTTGACGCGTGTACGAGCTATGGTGATGTGCAGAGGCGCGAATAAGGCCAGAAGAGGGGGCCAGACATGTCGGCATGGATGAGAGTCGCGAGCATAGCGAGACGCGCCGACTGCACGCGCTTCTCAGTCCCGGCCCAGCAGATCTCTGCTGCCGCCCGACCTCGCAAGCTTCAGATTGCATACTGCCCGAACGTTCCATGCGCTCCAGAGATAAAAGTGTATAGCTACAGACATTATGCATATGACTATGCATGAGTACAGTAAATTACTCCCGGGTCACCACGATCTTTGGTGGAGGCGGAGGCGGTCCTCCTCGGCTGTGCGGCTCCTCGTCCTCGTCGCTCTCTTCTCCAATGTCAAATAATTCCTCCCGCTCATCCCACACATCAGCAATGCGTACAGATTTTGACGGACCGGCGGGACGGGGAGACTTCGCAGGCGTGCGTGGAGTATTCGGCTCATAGTGCAGAGGAAGCAGTTGAGTCGCGTCCACGTCGGAGTCCTCTTCGTCTTCCGACATTGAACCGGGATCTAGAGGTTGGTAGAGGCGGGATATCTGTATTTAGATTTGAATAGTTAGCTTCCCGCTACATAGTGCTTTGGAAGCATTATCTCGTACTTCACGCCTGTGCCTGTAATATCGCTCGAGGTGGTAGGCAATATATAGACCAAGTGTAGAGCCGAGGAGATTAGCCTGCGGGTCGTTAGATTGCTTTAGCCATGCATTGTCAGCCGAAAAATCTAAGAACTAACCGCTATGTCACCAGCCTGGAACTCTTTGTACTAGGTCCTTGGTCATCATTGTGTCCAGCAAATTGAAGGACCGAAGTGACCCACCGGTAGCATGGATTGTACAATTTCGCTGATAATACCTCCGAAGAAGAAACAGACGATGCCCGAGATCAACAAGGGTGAGTTGCGCCAGATCCATATGCGGCGCGCTTCCCTACGGATGGAATTGGAGACGACGGCCGTTTAGTAATGGGCGGGAATACTGCGAATATAGTACGTACTCTTCAACGTCGAATATAAAGTAAAACACAGCGGTGGCTACGCCCATGCAGAGAAAGTGGAGGACCTTGTCGTTCAGTGGTAGCGCATGCGAGAAGTTAGTGAAGCCCAGCAATGCCAGGCTCACGAGAATGAGGCATGTGAAGACCATAAACCACTAGCGGGACGCCCGTTGAGCATTGGCGGGTAATTCGGCATATTAAGAGCATCCGCACCGGTCGCAAACGCATAGGCATATCATACTTCGGTATTTGGAAATGATATGAACGCATAACAGCCTTGTTCACTCTACGGACAGTCTTGCGTGAGCGGCGAGCAGTACGCGTCCATAGCGGTTCCGAAGCCGGCAGGTCAGTTTCCGGTAAGCGAGGCATTTCGTGGTCGCTTCACGCCCTGTCTAGTCCAGCAGGGGCTAATTAGTGAGTAGAGTGTACACAAGAAAGCAGGGCGGAGGTGAGAACGACAAGTCAAGAGGAGGAGGGGGAAATGCGGTGGCTGCTGTGGCGGAGGCTGATCGGAGGCTTCGGGCTCCGAGTTGGTCACGGTGCCCTGGGTATTCAATTTCTAGTTGGATATGATAGCTAAGTCTATTTTCGGGTTTCGTGATAAGGTGGCTTATCTCCGCTATATAATCGGGCGGCTTGTGATTTTTTCTGTCTCCCACTGCTCCGAACGGAGGGCCATAATGTGGCGGGCGTGCGGCTTTAAGCTCAACGTTCAGCGTACACGGGCAGACGTTCACGTTCATCTTCAGACCTCTATCGTGCCCAGTTTGCGGACCATGTCGTCTAACGCGCTAGAAATCCGAGCTAAACTGGCCGCTTTCTCGACCTGCGAGCTCTCCGACGCGCTCATCAAACTAGGCACCCCGCACGGCGGGCACATCCCCGACATACGAATGTTCTCCCCGTCTGACCCAAACACACGCCTCTGTGGGCCTGCTTACACGGTTCAAATGGTGCTGGGATCAGACAAAACAGCGCCCAAACTGTCAGCGCACTTTGTGGACATCGCACCGGAGGGGTCGGTAGTAGTCGTCAACGCGCCGCACCGTTCAGTATCGTTTCCTGCCTACATGTCGATTCGTCACTCACGCTGAGGCTCTGAACTTGCCGTGTGTCATGCGGCTTTACACAGGCCTGAAGAACGCGGTTTGGGGCGGCTTGATGACCGCCGGCGCGCAGGCTCGCGGCGCTCTCGGCGTGATCATCTCCGGCCGTTGCAGAGACCTCGCGGAGCACCGAGCTGCGTCGTTCCCTGTATTCGCGAGGGGCCACTCTACCCTCGGCCAGTCGCCCTTTACACGTCCCTCTGAGGTGAACGTGCCTGTCGTGATACGCCCTTTCGACGTGTCGGAAGAGGACTTCGCGCCCGTGGAGGTGACTCCGGGAGATTGGATGGTCGCCGACGAGGATGGTGTCGTTTGTGTTCCTACGAGGCTTGCAGAGGAGGCCATCGCCCTGGCTGCCAAGGGAAGGGAGGTCGACGAGCGCTGTATGGAGGACATCAAGGCAGGTAATGGTGTCCAGGTAACATTCAAGAAGCATAGGGGAAAGTAGATGGATCGGTAGAGGTAAAACGAGCAACAGATTTATAAAACTTGCACATTATAGAGTACATTATCTGCTTCGCGAGGGGACTTCAAGGTTCTACTAGGATCTTGGTATGG